AAGTCAAACTGCAAACCATCTTCTGTACCGAAAGGATATAATCATTTGGCCATACAAGTTTAGGCCCCTCACAAATGCGTCGAAAATCGAAATGTATGGTCATGAAACTCGTAGTGCATAATTTCTCGTACTATCTAGATTATGGTGGTATAACTACTTTAATATTATGGAACGGGAAACTGATAAAAAGACACAAAATACAACATAACCTAAAAATTGCAAAGGGCCTTATAAATACCAATGCTTGCCACATTTCATAAAATAGAAAAATAACTTTTAATTTTGAATTTGGGATTCCCGTTTCGTATAAAGATCATATTTGCAAGAGTGCGATAAAAAAATCAATCATAATTTTTAGTTTTAGTGAGAATTTCATACAATACCGTTTTCGGAATTCGGTGAATTCGGGTGGGCCCAAAATTGATTATCTCATTTGAAAATAGGTAGGTACATGTAGTACTTAGTGTAATTTCGAGTATAAAATTACTTTAAAAGAACATTTTTGTTATTTCACTAATCATATTTCGGCTACTATATGACATGACAGCGCTAGTTTAAAAGGTACAAGTAAAAACAAAATTTTAATAGCGAATAAACTGCAGTTTACTGCAGCGTCTCCTGGTAAGTTGTTTGCGTAACTCTTACCTTAGAACATGCACCAGTAAAATTCAAATCTATGTCTGAAAACCGTATCAAAATCTGACCAGTAGTTTTGGAGATAATTTTTAACCTTCGTCGTGGGTAAAAATGGGTTCAGTTCAGTCGTATAATTATGACAACTTGTTGTAGAAAATCTTTGACGCCATATTAAAACAACTTGAACGTCACGGAAACAAAACAGATGTCTATCTACAAAACGGGAATTCAGAAAATGTTACCTGCGAAACGAGATTGTCATAGCTAGGTACTTATTTGGGTATAATTCTTAATCAATTATTCTAAGAATTCGGAATAATAATAGAAATGAATAAAGGCAATCAGCGAAATGGTATTTCAAAGGGTGCTCGCTGGAGATAAAAGCTATGAATTAATTTACCAACCCTAAGAAACTGAAAAGAGGGAAGCTGTCATAGACCTGCTATTTGTAGACCAAGCTTGCAAAAAAAAAAACTAGTATGCAATAGGCTAGGGGTGCCATCGTTTAACATAAGTGTAGGATGCACTTGTAAGTTCATCAAAATAGTACGATTTATCAGATTTTTGTGTCTTAATTCAAAAGTATTTAATATCTATCATAGAAGTGGATAATTTATAAATGTAATCTAGCACCCAGAAATTTTAAATATAAATTACCAAAATAAAATAATTACAAAATTTGAAGTACCATGTCGTGGACATGTAGGTATGTGTGTTCTTCTTTTCATTTCAATGGCAGTGAAACCGAGGTTATAGTTTTTGTGCCCTTGTGTAATATTGGTGTGTAGTAATAGGCTTATAAATTAATCTATATGTGATCTCCTGATACTGACACTGGCTGGATGTTACCGTACTTAGTACCTAAAGCAAGCAGTGTCTACGGATATCGGCTCGATGATATCTAAGTATAAATAAAAAGAGGGTACGTGTTGACTCCTGGATGAACTCCTGGGGGCAGGGACTGGAAGTCACCAGATAAAGGGAATATTTTGCAACGACACCCTTTCTGTAATTTTGCATAAGTCGCATTCGCGCTAATGGAGCCGTATTGTTTTGTGGTAAAAATGAAAGGGGAGGTAAAAATGAAAAAGTACCAAAAAAAAAGTGTAAAAATGTCTATGATGGATGAAGCTAGTAGTAGCTCGGTTAAGGGTTTGGTTCTAGGCTTTAATCGTGAAAACTAATCTCTCCTGGCTGGTAGCGACTGTATGGCGAAAACAAAAGATCGGTCGGGCTTTCTGGCGTACACATGGGAAGGCCTACGTCCTAGCAATGAACCGCTATAGATTATACATATATATAAATTCATCACGCCTATATCCCTTGCGGAGTAAGCAGAGCGTAAACGGCTGTACAAAACGGTCACTAACACCACGTCTCACAATAATAATAAAAATATAAATAATAGTTTGAAAGTCACTTAGAAGACTGTATCGCCATGACTACCACGGGAAAGATTGAGGGAGATGCTATTTTTTGCCGGCACCGGGTGGCAGAATGTGATGTAAAAAAACTTTCTGCTTTTGATATAAAAAGTGAGACAATTTATTTTAATTTATTAAACAAATAATTCCGAAAATGAAAATAATCTGTAAACAGCCATGAAGGAGACAAGCAGACCTATTGTCAAGGGAGGTCGCTGGGGAGATTTTAATTCCTTAGCCACACTATGAGCCATGAACGTTTTACTTTAGGTATACTTGATTTATTACCAATAGAAGTCAGTTAATCAGATAACATTTTTATTACAGATCAACGGTTCTTGTCGATCAAAACGGCGGTCGTTACCAACCAGAGGCCTATTAGTAATATAATAACCTTAAAATTGACACTAGAATTCATCAGTTTGTTCTTCGGCTCGGTGTTCCAATTTCCAAATGAAAAAAAAATATTATCTAATCTGTCCATCGTTGACAATTGTGTGTGTCAACAAAAAACGCTGATTATTTTCGTTTATCTTGCCTTTTCACTGTGTGGTTTACATCCGCACCATGCGAATCGGAGCTTGTTGTTATCGGGGCAGAGGAAAAGCAAAATTATAGTTCCAGATTCAAAAACACATATTCGACAATAGAAAACAATCTTCTAATAGAATTTGGTAGACGTTCGCTGATCATGTGTATCATCTCATCATTCATCAACAAAAGAGGCTGTGTAAATTGATATGAATCTCGCGGCCGTTGACCATCGTGTGTGTCAACAAAAGAGGCTGTAATGTAATTAGAGGCTGAAATAAATCTCGACGCGGATTGTTTTCGTTTATCTGACCTTTTCACGGTGTGATTTACACCCGCAGTCCGCACCCGGCTTCGCAGCTATGGAGAATTGAGATGGCATCGGGTCCGAAGAAAAGAAGTTCATATTTTAACCGAAAAGACTTACTCAGAAAAAAGAGACAATGTTTCGACAGAAATTGGCAGCCGCTTATCATCCTGTGTATCATTATCAGTAAAAAAGGAAGAGTTGTCAAATAAAAAAGACTTACCTAGTTTAGTTACCTGTTTGAGATGAATCTCGCGGGCGTTGACCATCGTGTGTGTCAACAAAAGAGGCTGTAATGTAATTAGAGGCTGAAATAAATCTCGACGCGGATTGTTTTCGTTTATCTGACCTTTTCACGGTGTGATTTACACCCGCAGTCCGCACCCGGCTTCGCAGCTATGGAGAATTGAGATGGCATCGGGTCCGAAGAAAAGAAGTTCATATTCTAACCAAAAAAACTTACTCAGTACAAAAAGACAATGTTTCGAATGAAACTGGCAGCCGCTTATCATCCTGTGTATCATCATCATCAGCGAAAGGTAACCTAGTTTAGTTATCTGTTTGATATGAATCTCGCGGGCGTTGACCATCGTGTGTGTCAACAAAAGAGGCTGTAATGTAATTAGAGGCTGAAATAAATCTCGACGCGGATTGTTTTCGTTTATCTGACCTTTTCACGGTGTGATTTACACCCGCACCCGGCTACGCAGCTATGGAGAATTGGAGATGGCTGTTATCGGGGCTGCGGCCACCGGCCGGGGAAGGGGCAACAAACACTTTTGTTCGGGTTTGATGCCGTTTTTGCACATTTTATGTATTATGTACAACACGTGGTGCCAAGCTGCAGATTTTAAAGTAGAAATGTTCGTTTCAGCTCATTCGCAGACGGTGGGTGCATGGTGGGTGCAATGCTGCAAAACTGCATTTCGCACAAACACACATGTTTTGAAGGAATATAAAACATCAAAGAAAGGCTGATAACGACCGTTAATAGACGAATACTTAAATACTTCGGTCACATAATGCGCAACGAAAACTCTATGGAACAGCCGGTTGTACAGGGCTAGAATGACGGAAAAAGGGCCCGCGGCCGCTCACCGACTAGATAGATAGATCTAATAAAAGTCTGTTACTGAGCACTCCATCAATGATACATCTAGACCCATGTTGCTCGATGCATGGTACGCATTACTGCGGCGACAGTTGCTCCACGTGTGGCCAAAGCCTTGACAGCAATGACATTAGGCCGGTCTTGGCCTTGGCCTGCAGACCTCAATAGCTGCTCCTGAAAGGCAGAAGAACTCCGCAAGGTTGCCTTTGCAGACTACATCCTTAAAAAGAAATAAACGGATGGACAAAATTTTAGCAAATAATGTAAAATTACTAATTATTCACGGCTATAATTATAATGGGTGACTGCGACAAAATTAACAATGTATTACTTGAAAAAGAAAAGACCGTTTGAATTTTTTAATTATTATTTTCATTTGACCTGAGCAGCGTTCTCTTTAAAGATTTAGTTTGATTTGAAATAAATAATGATGATCGAATACTTAATTGCTATAAAAAGAAGAAAAAGATACATTCTATTTTTATACAATTTAAAGATATACTTACTACGATTTTGTGTTCAACAAAACGCGTTGCGCCGACCCTAAGTAGTTGGGATAAGGGCAGGAAGATGATGACTTACTTCTAATTCTGTAAGATACATAAAAAATAACATACTTGTAATGCTTACATGTTACTTTAATCTTACATTGTGAAAAAAATGATTTTCACTATCGCTCACTACGCAATAGTTTAGCAATATTTTTTTGTAAAAAATACAGATTCTTTTCGCTTTATCCAGCTCATATGTTCTCGTAAATATGAAGGGTGATAAATAAAAACCGCAAAATGTTATTTTTTCCTCCGACGCGGTAAAACTGTTATGAGCAGAACACCATATTGTTATGTTAAAAAAGTAGTCTACAAATTTTCAGTGACACGCGTGTTAAACCTACCCGCATATGAATACCGTAGAAAGGGAAGTACAATCCGAAATAAAATAACAGAGGTACTCATGAAACTGAACTTTTTGGAAAACTTGCAATATTTTCCGCCGCAGGCAGGACTTGAACCTGCAACCTTCGGCATCTTAACTGCTGACGCCACAACCAACTACCGCTACCGCGGTTCAGCAATCAGAAAACCGAATCTTCAGAATAGTATCGCAAAATCATGCGGTGCGTGGCTTCCCTCTCAATGGCATTCAGGATTTGTATTACAATAGTTATTTGACAATTTGAGCCAGGAATCAACAAATAGTCAATTGTGAGAATACGTTGGAAATCCTGCGACTAAACTTTACGCATTTGCAGTATTGGTTTCCGTACACTGATATAATGTCTTCAACCAATGTCACAAAATAATTAGATTAGCAACTACGACACGACCCTACTACAACCAGTGTCTACGACAGAGGCTACGGCGTAGACTAGCTACAGTTTTACATAGCTACAGCTACAGCGTAGGCTTTAATCATACGTTGTGGGTCGACATTTTGTTTCATAACCAAATATTATTTTCAGCTTGAAATCCTTACATTTGTTAATTATAGTAGGTTTATAATGTTTTGGAGATCTTATTAGTTACCTAATACTGGAAAAACCAAGGCAAGTGAACAGCGAATTGTCCCAACGCCATCTACCAAAACAAGACCGCACTATCGTAACTCGTACAATGCGTGGAACCTTAGGGAAAGGTTTGTAAAATGCAGCTGGAATTCTCCCAGGCCAGCTTACATTACAGTTACTCTAGTACTACGCTAGATAGCGCCACTAGGGCAAAATTTACATTACTCTCATTGTTAAAAGCTTTGCATGCATGGGTAGAATATCTTTCAGCTCATTATTAACATGGTACTAAACAGACAACAGACAATCAGATGAATCTTAAACGTCCTGTATTTCACAATCAAACTAGGATAACTTTTTTCGTAAGTATGTATGTAGGTAAGAAGTAAGTAAGTATGTAGACAAGAAACTCGTATTCACGGGCTAAGGGCTGACATGTGAGGTGTCGTTGGATTTTTCTTAACAGCACAAGTGACATATTATTAAAAAGTTCATAAAAGATGGCGGATTTTAATCAAAATAGTCGGGTTATTGTTTTTAATACATCTGCTTGTCTGATGACCAGCTTTATTGTAATAATTTAATAAAAAATATCTCTGGTAGAAATCCTTTAACTTCTAGATCAAAATTAAGACTACATAAGACTACAGCTGGTAGGTAAAACAGATTTATTTGAATTACTATATCGTGATCTCAGAACTTATTGAATTCCTTCACAGATTTTATTTCTACAAACAAAATTATTTGTTAATCCAGGAACCAGATCCGGATTGAGGAACACAGATTTCTGCAGACTGTAAAGCATGTTCAGAACAGAAAATGCTTTACAGTTTTTATAAGGATTTTTGCCGACGTTCTTAATTAGAGTTAGATAGAACTAATTGTGGTGAACCGCAATACGCATCGACCTAATAATATTGCAGCTCGTGAGGTCACTCACAAAGTGGTTAGATATTCTATTTATTTATTTATTTATAAACAGTTTTCTAAATGTGCAAAAAAAATTCTAATGTCCTCGCCTGACTGAGGACCTGGGGTCCCAGGAGGATATTGCAGGCTGAACCACCTGATTGTCCGCAAGTAAGATGGTTCCTTGCTTCAGATGGGCACGTTAAGCCGTCGGTCCCGGTTGCTGTCTATGATGGCGGTCGTTACACAACCATGTCAGAGGCCTGCTACTTGCAATAGGTGGTTGAAAAACTCTGACACCAGGGTTCATCGGGTCGTTGAACGACTCGGTGTCCCACACGAAAAGATAAGAGAGAGAGATCGTGACAACATTTTCGTACTAGATTTTGCAAATTGTGAAAGCCGAATCCGGTGCAAAAAACCTAAGTAGTATAGTCGCAAAATTTTAAATTGCGTGAATTGTAACAATTGTAAAAATATTTTGATGTATAATAATCCATCTTTCTGCGACTGGACTGTAATCCTACAGAGTTGGATTTGTTTCAACGTGTAAAGCACTCTGTTAGTATTTACAATAGGTATCCCGTAAATTATGCACAGAAAAAAAAAGATGGCTAACTGCGTGCCACTTTACATTTACATATTTTGGAAGCAAGTCTTGGCTTTTACACAGTTTAGGGTAAAACGTCAATCTTACAAAGCTGATGGAATACCTATACTTATTTTATCTTCGTATTTTTTAAATCCGGCCCTGTGCCACCCACCGAGCTCCGGCCTTGCTCCTCTCAGCTAAATAGCGTTAGATAATAAACATTACAACATAAATTTAGATCTTTTTCCGTCTGTCGAAAAGTATTATCGTAAATATCGACAAGCCGAGAGATATGAATCAACAAATCAGTTATTTATCTACTAACGAATATAAATAGGTAAGGTAAGTAGGCATAAAGTGTTTTTAACAACACAGTGTGGTACCAGCTTAGAATGGCATCATCATATCTTTTCCGTGAGTGTCGTAAGAAGCGAACAAAGGATTTGGGAGTTGACGTGTATTGCAATTTTAGGGCACAGGCTCACAATCTGGTACACAGTCTTCTGAATGACTCTCAAACTTTTGTCTGACGTGAAAATGGCCGTTTTATACAGGCATTTACGCTCAGCCTATCCCGCAAAGGATATAGGCGTGATATGATGTAGATAGGTATAAAGTATAAAATCTTTTAAAAAACGCAACTATAGTAGTTGTTTTATTTTGTACTTACGTAAGTAGAAGCATTCAAACTGATGGTTAGGCCATTTGATTTCAATTAAGATAACTTATAAATGGGAGATTGCCGTGTGATGCCCAATTGGAATTCTACCCATGAATGTTTTAGAAAGCGAATAAGGGATAAATAATTCATCTATGGAATGGGCAACAGCGATCCCTGTGAATAAAGCAGCTTGTAGCTAGACTCGCCATTTCGCCGGCCGAGCGTGGTGAGTATGTCATACGGGGGGTATTGTCATAAATAAATATAGGAGGAGGCTTGTGTCCAGCGATGGACTTTCTGGCTGTTATGTATGAATAAATGAGAAGCCCTTGTTTGACAGTGGATTGTTTATGGTAATTGTTGATGTTGATACTTAGGTACATTGTCTATTTTCAATTAACTAGGTACTGAAAACAATTTGCGTCGAAGGTCAAAGGTTTATAGACGGCTCTCAGAGATTAACCTAAAATCAACAAAGTGAACATTATTAGGTAAGTAAGGAATAAAAGCGTAATAATATATATATATCAGTCGCGAAGGGTCCATACATGCCGAGACCCATCGACTTCCCTTACAAAAAATATAAATTCATACTCTCACATCAATCTACTTTCAGTTAGTAGGTACGCATTTTTCGCTCAAGCCTGCTTTCGTTAAAATGCCACCCTTCGCCACTGGTATGTAGAGGTATGTAATTTTGTGTTTTTGTATTACTCTACTCTTCTTTTGTTTATCTATGTAGAATGGTTCTCTCCTTGAAACATTTTCAACATCTTATCGTATCGGATGTCATCGCCAAGTCGATAAGCGATCCGATGAACCCTGACGTCAGAGTTTCTCAACTGCCTAAGACCCTCTAGCTTGTTCAGCTAATAATGCTAACACCCTGTCTACGAATTCTTCTTTTCGTGAGTGTTGCCCGTCAGTTTCACAAAAGCTGTAAGCGCGAGCGGTCGTTCTAGCAACCAAGTCCAAATCAAAGCCTAAACACAAAATTTCTTATTTCTGACTGAAATTGCTTGTTATATCAGTTCAATATTGAGTGTCTTGTTAAATCAGTATGTGATCCCGTGAAAGTTGTTTTACCGTGTGATGCCGGCTTAGAAAAGCATCACCCCATTTCTTTTGGTAAGAGGCGCCTAAGGGACTCTAGAGTTTCAGGTGTAATAAATACAATTTTATAGAAACGGTTTTAAAATATCTGTAAAACGTGGCGATAACGACCGTCTACGGCCGTTGACTCTCTGCCTACCCCGAAAGAAATAAAGGCGTAATTTCTGTGTGTTGAACCAATCGATCGAGTAATGGGCATTAACGGGTTGTTTGCTTAACCATAATTGGCTAAAAAGGTGACACAGCTAATTGTTCGTCTAACTTTACGATTTTGCCTAAAAGTGTTGTGCGAAAGTGGACTGAAGCTAAAGTTTCGACTAATTGATTGATTATAATTATCGCCCATTGACGATCAGAATGAAAGAATATTAGTTATTTTGGTAAAGTGAAAATAAGAAAAAACTTGGCTTGCGTTTATGAAAATATTATCTTTGCAAAATGGCGTCAACAACTATGGGTCCTGATCCTCCTTTGGGTAAGTGATTTTTTTTTGTTTAATAGCTATGTAATATATAGGTTACATTTCATTAAATACAAATATTTTAAGGGTGTGTTCTACTCATAAAACAGAACAACATTTCTTAGAAATTTGATACAAAAAATTTAACCTACCCGTACCCGCGCACACCCCATACACAAATTTTGTATTTTATGGGAGACTCAAGTTCTTTTCATATACGAAGAAAAGTTTCTAATAAAAGTTGTTTAGTTTTGTGAGTAGAATGAACTTTATTAAATTTAACCCTATATAAAAGTAGTTGGCGAGCGCAGTGCAAGTCGTTGCATTCAAATAATACAGTCGGTTCTACCCGTTACCTTGTCTCCAGTCGCTTTTTACGACACCCGCGGGTAGAAAATGAGGCGATGCTATTCTAAGCAGGCGGTTTGCATGTGCAATGAGCTCTAAACATAATTTATAACACTACTAGCTATAACAAAGCAAGTTTACATAAATATTTCTAAACCGGGTGTTTTTGAAGCTGGCTTAGAATAACATCACTACAATTATTCTAGTAGTGGGTGTCGTAAAAAGCTATACGATATAATCATCAAAGGAATGGGCAAACCGCGTTCCCTGTAAATGCAACATCTTACACTGCACTCGCCAATTAGCCTGCCAATCTTGGCGAGTATTACGAGGCCCATATCCAGCAGTGGACTGTTATAGACTATAGTGCTAGAGTTCTAAACACTTAGCATTTACCACAAAAAAGGTAGAAAACTGTTAAACTCGTGTTTACAATAGAACTACAACTAGACAAGCTAGACAAGCGTGTCTAACTTAT